GAGTAGGGAGAGAGAATACATTCCAACAAGCGGAAAGCGTAGAAGTGTAACTTGGACTTACTTGGATATTATTGGGTAACTTGGATATTATTTAGGGAATAATATAAAAGTAAAGTTACTACAAAAGTTAGGGAATGCACAGAATTGAAAAAAGACAGGGGCCAGTTTGTGGAAGACCATTGTATTAATAAGTATTCTTTTGGTGGCAAGTGACAGAAAATCCAGCTTAATTGGAAAAGGGAATGTGCTGTGCTAGTTGAAATAACTAAAAGTACATGGGTAGGCTAGCTTCAAGTGTGGTTTATTTAATGTCAGCTGCTAGATGCTGACAGCTTCAAGCTTACATCATTAGAACACCCAATCTAATGAAGAATCAGTCTGTTCCCACATAATCCTGGAGCTGAGTCCATTTGCCCTGGTTGGTTGACTTGATCAGATGTGTGACCAGTGGGGACTGAATGTCCTGGTGGGCTCAGCCTGGGTCATATGTTTCACCCTGAAAGCCTAGTAGTAAAATGTTTCCCACCATACAAATGGGCTGGAGTGGGGAATAGATGGTTCCTCAAAGCAAAAAGACAGTTCTTCCTGCCACTAGAAGATAGGGCTCTGTGTGGTAAACTATATTCCATGACTATGAATAAAAAGCTAAAGTTTTTGGATATCAGTTGGCAATAGGAAACCAATATTGTATTTGAACGGGGCAGTAATATGATCAGTGCTGGCCTTTGTGAAATTAACCTGGCTGCAATGTAGATGATAGTTTGGACTGGGAAATGGATAAAGGTGATAAAACTAGCTTTGAGATTGGTAAGAGGTTTAGGGAGTCTGTGCTAGGATGGTGGTGAAAGGAGGAGTCAAAAGCAAGAGACATTTTTGTTTGCAAAGTTGTCAAAGAAAACAAAACAAGTGTAAAGTGTAAATTATTGTAGTGTGATTTCTCAAACTGGTTTGATAGGAGGCCCAACTCTGAAGCAGCCACCTTGTTTGTTCATTTGGAAGAACATTGCTGCCATCTCCTAGTCATCAGAGTCCGTATATTGATACTTTTCTTCAACCGTAATTCCCCCACCACCTTGGGGTCTGCTGTGTGGGCTTTTGAAATTCTTTCCAGATCTAATGCCCTGAACACCAGCTAATCCCATTCAGTGTGTCAAAGAGACAAAAAGGGCAGTCGGACAAATTTCAACAAAATGTTCCTCCCTCTGATTGAACAATAAAAACCAATTAGTCATTTTAATTTGGGTCTACAGTTATTTTGACTTTTGTTTTCTCCTATACCATCTCTGAGCAGCAGTGTTTGAATTGTATAGATTATAAAAGAATTGGTTGAATCACCAAAAGACTATCATCCCTAATTTTTTTTTAAGTCCACAAGCATACTGACATCATCATTACTCAGCTTTTTAAAAGATTTAATTAATCTTGAATTTTCAATAGCCATTTAATATGCAGGAGGATTCGCTTACTAATAAAACTTAATTTGATCAATACAAAATATATTCTGCTACCACTTGACTCTTTAATTTTGTTATAGTGTTTAAAACTGCAAGCAATATTAGCACATTTCTTGCTATAAGAAAGCTGGGTGTGTTATGATTTTGTGCCAAGTCCTTTGGCCACTCAAAATACATTGAGATTATCTTATAAATGGAGAATGATGTGTGTTGTACTTTTCTCTTGGCACTGATGTTGCTCACATGCTATCATTGCAAAGGCAAGCATTAGCTTTGCCACGTTTACACGAATAAATAAACCTTCTAGGCCACAGTGCTGCTCAAATTTGGTGGTGCATAGAAATCACTTGGGGATCTTGTTAAAATGCAGATTCTGATTCAGTAGGTCAGGGATTGGGCCCAAGAGTCTGCATTTCTAACAAGCTCCCAGGAGAATCTGATGCTGCTTGTCAACAGACCACACTTTGAGTAACAAGCGTCTTTGAATTTAAAATGAGAAATATATTCTGGACCTTGGGTCTGGTATTAAATCATGTCGATCTTAGGTTGCAAAACAAAAGGACTGCAAAAGGACTGAAACATGGCTTATCTTTATTTTCCTCAGAAACAATGTGTGCCTTCATAATATAAATTATGCTGGGTTTAGATGGGCAATCATGGCCCAGCCACTTATAAATTTAACTGTTGCTGATGGCAGCATTACTGACAATGAGTAATGTCAGTAATGTCAACCTGTGTGCAGGTTGGTTAGAAAAGATTCATTAGTAACTGTTCCTTCCACAGTGTTTATAGAGACATTCTTTTCTTGCTTCATATCATAGACGTAATTATTTGAGTTTGACGCTTATTCCAAGCTCATCTTCAAAGTTGTTTTCCCATGATTCCAGTTATTAATATGGAAACTAGAAAATCCTGTGAAAAGTCAAAGTATATTGATGTTTGGCAGAGATTTCCATTTTTATTCAAATATTTCTGGTTTCAGAGAAGCAGACACACAGCTGTTGCCACTTGCCTTTGCTCCAAAAGAACCACACCTTTTTCAAGCTGCTGCATCTCTGGTTTTGTTTGTTTGCCTTCTGCCAGTTTACCTTAATGATTCCCATGGGGGACCAGGGATTACACAAAGAGATGCATTTCTCACCATTACTGCAGTCATAGAATAGAGAAAGTTATGCATTTTCTCCTTTCAAGATCTCTTAAAGACAATATGATTTGCAAAAAAAGATTTCCACAAATATAATTATGATTCAGCTTTTTGTTATGTGTATCATAAAATTCACGCCTGCTTTATCCTATCGATTTTATACTGGTATGTCTACTTGCACACGGAAAGTTTCTTTTTGCACCAAGACACTATATTACTTGGGCTAAAATCCTAGATCTGGATGAAAATTTTTGGCCTAGCCAAATGACATATGTAAATTGCTAGATGGTTCTGTGAATCGAGAGTATCTCAAGATACTGACACTTGAATTGGTAACCAGCCAAGTGCCTTTGCTCACACAGTTCATATTTATAGGCTTTGAAGGAAATATTTGTGCCGCAGAGATAAAGTTCATAACTAAGGAGGAAATGTTTGACTAGAAGAGGTTAGATGTGAACTCTTAGATAAGAGAAACGGGGAAATTATGAAATCTCTGTAGAGTTGCTGTTGTTGTTTTAAGAAAAGTCTAGACAGATTTCTCTTTCTAGGATGGTAAAATGTACTCCTGTCAGGAAGCTGTAGTGTGGGAGCCATGGAGATGGAGAGCATGTCTGTCTCATTCATCAGTGTATTGCTATAAGAAAGCTGGGTGTGTTATTTCCTCAAAAGTGAGGAAATAGAGAATTAGTACACTTGCCCAAGAGACCAGTGAGGTAGTGAGACAGAAGTTGCACTTCTACCTACTGACTCCTATTCCAGTGCTCTGTCCTATAAAGGACAATAAAACAAGAACTGGATGGTACTTTACAGTTTACAGTGCTTATGAACATATCTCAATTCTCAAGATAAAACAATCAGTTTATCATGCAGGGTTTAGACATTAAAAAGCTGAAGTTTAAAGAGGGTAAAGGAAAGTGTCCAAGGTTAACTATTGGTGGTGTCTAATAAGAATCCATGTCTCCTGCCTACAAGTCTTAGTCATTTTGTGTTTGGTTGGTTGATTGTTTTAGGACCCCAGGTGCATTAAATTGGATTCACCATTTTGGGGGGTTCATTTCACTCTCTAGTCCATGCATGGCTTTGTTTTATTTAGTTACATATGATTTTTATAGGGTAATACATGTCTGTGAATCACCACCCAACTTAATAGCTAAAACACTGACAATTAACCTTCATATAAAATACCTCCTCATCTCTTTCCCATACCTCCCCTTACCCAGCGTCACCAACATTTTAAAGACTATATTAATTGTTCTACTGCTTTTCTTTTCATATAGTTATATACAAATATGTTTATATTCCTAGGGAGTTTGGTCTTATTTTTTAACTTTATGAAAAGTATATCATGCTATATGCAAGATTTGGGGGATTATATCATGTTGTATATAATTTGGGGGACATGTTGTGTGATTGGAGATCTTTTTACCAACAAAAGTAGGTAATCACAGTATACACACATACACCAGCACATGGTGTATGTGTATGTATATACATTTATAACGTAAACATTACATCAAACTATCCACTCTCTTCGACTTGAGACATATTTAAATGCACTCTACCTATATATTACATAGTAAACACCCTTTCATTCAACAAATATTTATACGGTGCCTGCCATGTGCCAGGAGGTACTGTACTATGCCCTGACACACCCGTGCAAAAACAGATACATTCCTTCTCCCAAATATCCCTGATCTCATGGAAATAACATTGTACATATAGAGACAGACAGTAAATATATAAAATATACAGGATGTTAGGTGATGTTAAGTGCTAGAGAGAAAAACAAATCGTGGAAGGCCCTTAGGGACTGGAGTTTGCAATTTCAGGGTAGTCAGCAATGAATTAGGGGTGGGGTGAGTGGGGAGAGGCTTAATTCACCGATCGACAGGGAAGTAACTTGTGAGAGCTGAATCAGACAGAAGTAAACTCTTCGGAAACCCCCGTGCTCAGCTTATTGTCTGTAGAATGATGGGCTTAGTCGGTGTCGACGGCTCCTGGAAAGACAATACATATACATTCCTCCTACTTTTCTTGCAACTAGCCGCCAGCTCGGCTGGAATCTCCCTAGAAGCCGATGCCGCACCTGAACACCTGGTAAAACCACCACCGCCCGCGGGCACTTAGCCGCCACGTGCGCGCATTCCCGATCACGCGCGCAGGGGGGCGCGCGCCTGCCTCGGCCGCTCCCGGGGCCCGCCGGGGACGCGCGCGCTCGTGCCG